TCTGTTGCCTCCTGTTGCGAAATCATTACATCTCCTTCAAGAAATCATCAAACTCGGTCTTGGTCTTCATGTGTTGTGGCAGCAACATCTCCTCGAGTGCAGAGGCGATGTTATGGAGAGCATCAAGTTGCTCCTGTTCAACCAACATGTAGATATAATGGTCCTTAATCATCTCCTCAGTCCAACGCTGATGACTATTCGGGTCGGATACGAGGTCGCAGATCTGCTTCAGTCGCGCTGCGTAGTCCCGCAGCATCGCGGGGTCCAGATTGCTGAACTCGGCATGGGACAGCAACCCAATATGAGCTCTACCAGAGTCACTCTCGAGCCATTCCGAGCCGTTGTTGGTCAGGGCGAGGGACGCGGCGTTGACAGTAGACCTCAGGCACTGAACAACAGCTACAGCAGTCTCGGAGGCAGTCTGGGGAAGGAAGTGGTGGCTGATAGCGAGGACATGAATCGTATTTTGAACTTGGTCCTTGAGTGTGTACAGAGCGTCTCGAACTTGGGCAAGACGAGACGTGGGACGTGTCGGTATACGGCCTGAACGTCCAGGGCTGTTGGCGGAATCTTCCGTGTTTTCTACCGGAAATTGCATATCCTGTGTCCGGTAGGTGTTGAAGTCGCTTGATAACAATTAGTGACGAGGACGACGATGCCGGGAGACGATGACTTACGCTTGTATAATGGGCAGAAACTCTTGCATCTGCTTGTCCTGCTTGTCCAGTGCAGCAGCATACTTGTTCAAGCTCGCACGGATCCTTGCCTCTTCGCTTACCGGATGCTGCGGCCAGGCTCTGGCTTTTCTCCGAAGCCTTGCAAGAACAGTACGCAAAGAATCCATCCAGAGCGTGACACTGGGATCGAGGGGAATTTCCTTCTCAACATTCGCGTCCCACTGAGACGCATAATCAGCGAGTATGGGACGAAGATCATTGATGTTCGCCATGAGGGCTTGACAACTGTTGGCGATAGCCGGCGCCTTGTCAAAGCCAGTCAACTCCTTGCTGGTCCGATTGAATGTGTCAAGGAGGTATTCGCCAAGAGACTCTAGCTTCTGGCTGATGATGGTAGGATTCATCGAGGAGTCGTCCAAGTCCAGGGTTTCGCCCAAGGTGCCTTCTGGTTTACTCGATGACTCAGCCTCGTCGGCGTCCTCGTTGCCCATTGTTAGGCGGCCGATATCTCGATTCAACCCCTCGATTTCCTTGCCGTTGCTTAGTTTCAGTGGCGGCGTTGGAGTTTGCTGCTTAGTCTGGTATGAACTCCAGATTGGCTGAATGGCCTCATTGGGTAGGAGGGAGTTCCCAAGCAAATCTAGGAGGTCTCGCCTTGGTGGCTGGTCGCTGCTTACTGCTGCTGTTGAACCAGAGGCTTGCTTGGCAGAAGTCAGGCGAGAGGAGCTCGCGTCTTCAGTCGCCAAAGGACCGGCAGCGGCATTCTTTAGCGTTCCAACAGTCGGAGATGGCTTGTTGGCTGTGGTCGTCGTTGTGAGAGGGGCACTACCGTCCTCGTCATCGGATGAGAGTGACACGACAGAGTAGTCGTCGGCAATCTCCTCCCACTCTTCCAACCCCTGCTTGGCTGGGCTTTGGGGTCCGGCCATCATGTATTCGGGATCGTATTAGGATCGGCTTGTCTTGCTAGCGAATCGAACGTAGAGAGTAATGGTATCGGTCAGCTACAAAATGTGCTTCGAAATGTTAGCAACTGATAAACAGGACGGCGAGATGAGACATTGAGGGAAGTGGCACTTTAACTACCTAATACTTGACGACGAGAGTATTGAGACGGTGCGCATGCATCCAAGCTATGTCGTGTTCGTAAAAAAGAGAGGTTGACGGAAGCAGAATGCTGTTACTAATGCCGGTGAGACGATGCGAGACGTGGAGGTGACGCGGATGGGGCTGCCGGATAGAGCCTCAGGTAGGTGCAGCCTGATGCCGACGGCTTGCGAAAGGCAGGGCAGATAAGGCAGTCGTCGGGCCTCAGGTTGATGGTTATTGCGCTGCTGTTGATGCTGTAAGATGACAAACGCCCTCAATCGTTTCTGCGTCCAGGCGAGAGGGAATGAAGCGGTTAGAAAGATGACCTTACTCCGTAGTCACCTCAGGTTGGCACCTTGGGTGACTCGACAGGAGAGGTTGATTGCTGAGGTAGGCGGCAGCCGCACCTTGAGGCCCGCTGGAGCTCCAACGTATCAGCAAGCTTATGCGGGGTTGATGCCGCCGATCATGCCTTTATTCGGCTCCGGGCGCCCTTCCTGCAGATCGTCCGCCCCGCCGTGGAAGGTCACTGACCTGTGCGTTCGCCTCGCGTATCTTATCTTATCAGCTTTGAGCTCAGATAACGATAAGACACCCCGAGCCCCTGGACTTCTTCCATTGCGTTAGGCGTTCTGTCGCATTACCTACTTACCCAGAACATCAACTTTGTCAACCTCGTCATCATGGCTCTGGAATGTCTGAATCTTCACATGCAAAGCCATACCCAAGAATGAGACACGCTCTCCATCTAGAATCGATATTAACTACAAATGTATGGCTGCTGTCATCCTGCTGCATTCTCGATCGCGTCTTCCGTCGCGGGAGTCCCATCGGCCTTTTCCAAACAACCTCTATTTCCAACAAATGAAATGCTTCAAACAATGGGCATGGCCTGGGCCATCCCAGAAAAGTACTAACTGAATGTACAGATGCAGTCTATCCTGAAAGGCTCTCTGAAACCAAACGCCTTCCTCCGCGCCTACCAAGTATCCGGCCCCAAGTCCTGAGAGCTTCTTCTCGATCGATTCCCTAAGCGCTCATGCTGCTGTTCTCGTTCTGGATCTTTCCAAACTTTCTGTTCATCATCACGAGCTCGAGACCGTTCTTGATGGGTGGCTCGCCGCGAAGCAGGAGACCGATCTCGCTCGGGTGGAACCAGTTCATCCACACCATGACGAGGAACATGAGCGTCGCGTCAAAGACGTAGACGTACGCTTCGTTGGTCATCAGGTGGCCCTTATTGCCCTCCAGGTACTCGATGACTCGGAAGACACTGCGCACCCAGATCAGAACGCTGGTGACGTAGAGCGTCAGGAGGTAGTAGCGCCAGCGGATCTCGGGCTGGTGAGACTTTGCGGTCGGAACTAGCAACATCCTGCGGTGGAAGAGGGCGGCCACGACGATGAAGAAGCCAAAGACGGCGAGCTGAATGAAGAGGCCGACGATGATGACCTTCTCGCCAATATCCATCATGCTTGCGCCGGACGCCATCATACCACCACCTGTACCACGCGCGTTAGTGATGGCCGACTACTACAGATTGGCCCCAAAGGGCAAATGCACATACCACTGGACTGCATTAGGAGCGAAAGGACGTCTCCAGAAACGAAGACCTTGGTCAGAAAGCGTCTCTTAATCAAGGCATGGCTCTCTCCGTCGGTCAACATGATGATGCGACCTAGGATCATGTAGATGGAGGCTGCCATGAGGGCCGGAGCGATGAGGAGAAGGACATTCTGGATGATGTAGGGGCCGAGAGTCCAGCATCCGGGCTCTTGTGTCGTGTTTTGCGCTCTTGCAGCGTATCCAACCACTTCACCTGTACGGAGAATGGTGTAAGCTCATGATCAGGCCATAGGCAAGGGACGGACATGATGTTCTCTTCAGAGCACTTACACAGTCCACCGATGACGAAGGCCGTCATGTACCATGTCTTGGTTCTGATGAGTTGGAAGATGTGAAGACCAGTAGTGAGAACAAAGACGACGCAGAAGAACACCGCCGCTGCCGTGGAAGGCTCGAAACGGTAGAACGACCATTCGGCGTTGACATAGTCGGGAGTACAGCCTCGTGCCATGTTTGCGATCGTGGCACTTTACCAGAACGAGATGGAGAGGAGCCTTTCGGTTGTTGACTATGGATCGATAGAAGTACAGCAGCTGGCTGTTCAAGGAAAAGAGGGTCGGGGAAGATCCAGATGAAATCGAAAGGAGCGTTCCTGGGACTTCGATGCAGGCTGTTCCGCTCGCTGAGTGTCGTTCTAGGTAAAGAAGGTATGATGATGGGACTATCTCAAGGTTCAAGGCAGCGAAACGGATTATGCTTATGTGCTTTTCGCTTTAGGACGGCAATGGTCCACGTTGTGTGGTTCATCCAATAAACAAATCGGTTCAATCGTATTCCACCCCCTTAGACTCAGCCACGCAAAAGATACCAGTACAGCTCACAAACGGCAAGTTAGAGGGACCCTTGGCGCACCGTTCGCCAATCTTAGGGTCTACCGGCCAGTAGTGCTTCTGTATTCTGTCTGCCTGGGATGCGAGTATCACTGCGCCCCTCTCTGCGTCCCGAGTGTTTGTCTCTCCTCAGTCAAATCTGCTGTAAGGAATTCTCGAAGAAATTTGGACAGTGGGCTTGACCCGGCCGTACAAAGATGTATTGAATACGGGGCCAATCACGATTGTCCCAGTACGACTTGGTGTCCCTACCGGGCGCAGGGGCTGACGAAAGACGCCGGGATCCGGACGCTTTTGGGCACCCGGGAACGGTGGGCCGTGCATGTCAAGCGCCGGAAGATCCACTTTACTAAGGAGCGGGGCTCCGCAATTGCGAGTATTCGCATTGCTCGCTTCGTATTCCCGCATCTCTGCTTCGCAACCACATCGAACTCTGACTGACAACTGTAAAGCCGTCGGCTGGCGGATTACCCCGTGTCCACAATCTTCCATCGACCTTCTTTATTCTTATTCTCTATGGCCAAAACCCGCGTGTTCGTACTCTCTCCTATCTCTCCCTTCTGCACGCTTGATTTGACTGAGGTGCTGTCTGCGTTTTATGTAGTCGGTTCCAGTCTGAAAAAACTTCTGTAGGCGTGAGATCCGCTCGCACCCTCGTACACCCACCCATCACAAAGACCTAAGGTATTGTCACCTTACACGCGGAAATTTTCTTGCATCAACATAGGATCTGAGACGGAACGGTCATCCCTCGTCCGTTGCCCAATCTTCCTATCCAATGGCAACCCGTCGTTCCCATACCAAGTCCCGCACTGGCTGTAGGGACTGTAAGCGGAGGAAAGTCAAGGTAGGTGACACACTGACAGCCCTCCCTCCCTCATCTACCTACCCTAACTTGGCTGCCGCGTACCGAACACGCGGTCAGGGATTTAGATTTGGACCCAATCAACCTAGCCTGCAATCGGATAAGGACGTCCTTTCATCTGTGGTTCGTTTGCTGATAGTTTGAACTTACCCAGTGCGATGAAGCATACCCGTCCTGCTTCAACTGCTCAAGACACGGCATCCCATGCAGTCTCTCATCATCACAGACCTCACCAGCAAACATCACCCCCCAAAGATCAACAACAACACCATCCGTCAACGGCCTCAGCCCAGAAGCACCCTACAACTTCCTAGACGCCGCCATCGACCATGACAGACTCCATTCTCCCGCCCCCTCCATCGGCCACTGGGGCCACGGCCTTGAGCTGATGCACCACTTCACACTCGTCACCGCAAACACCCTCTCCGTCCGCCCGGATATGCAACACGTCTGGCGCGTCACCATGCCGGAAATCGGCTACGACTGCCCCTTTGTCATGCACGGCATTCTCACCATCGCGGCGCTGCACAAGGCGTATTTGATACCCTCGGCGCGGGACAAGTACCTCGACCTCGCGACGTCACATCAGACTGCAGGCCTCGAGGGCTTCCGAACGCAGCTTCACACCGTTAACGACACAAACTGGAAGCCATTCTTCTGCTTCGCGTCGCTCGTCGTCTTCTACGTCGCTTCGTTGCCCGTGCGGATGGGGCAGGACCTCGACTCCGAGCCGGATATCATGGGTGTCTTCATCTTTGTGCGAGGGATTCGTGCGATCCTCGAACCATATCAGACAAAAATTGTAAGGACAGAATTTGCGCCAATGGCGACAGGAATATGGACCATCGACCCGAGTGATCCATCATATAAGTGCGTCGACACCGGCCATCAAGAAATTCTTATTCCCAAGACTAACAGACTAAACAGGCTCCCACCCCTCCACAACTCCCCACTCCCACCCGACGTCTTCGAAGCAATCCAAGGCCTCTTAGACTTTTACACAGAAAACCTCCACGACAGCGCGCGCGAAGAGTACGTGACAGCCGTAAGAGAGCTCGAAAAGGCAGTCTATCTCATGGCGCATGCCGGCGCAAATCTCGAGGTCGGCATGATTCTCTTCTGGCCGTACGTCATCTCGGAGAACATCATGGCCGACATACACGCCCTGAACCCATACAGTCTAGTTCTGTTGGCGTACTTTTCCGTGTTCTTGTGTGTGCTCGAGCCGACGTTTTGGTTCCTGCGGGGGTGGTCGAAGAGGTTGTTTGCCATGGTTGATGCGCAATTGGCGGGACATCCTGTGTTATTGGAGGCTGCCAGGTGGCCTCGGAAGCAGGTGTACGAGTTCTATGCGCATATTTAACTGAATGTTCTTTGATTGCCTGCAAGCATATCTATTCTAAAGACGTTGACGCCATCTCGAATTCGATGGTAGTTGACTAGCTCTCAATGTCTCGATGCGATTGAGTTTGACCAGCGTTGATCCCCTGATCTCTTCAGTGCCACAATGGCACAAAGTAGTTAATCTAAGCGTCTCGACACCCTTGCACCGAGCAGTATCTCCAACTTTGTGCGCTGTGATAGGTAGAGTTTCCCTTAATTTTTCTACTCCGATTTTTTTGTGGCGAATCACTCGTACCTTCATATGTCTCACGAGGTTGAAGATTGAGCCAATATCTCCCAGGATCTAATATTGTGGAGCGAAAACGATCAAGTGAAGCAGTTGATATCACTTGAGGTGGCAAGAATCATGTACTCTAGCACTTGATCATGATGCACGAGGTAGTAGGCTGTAGGACTATTTTGCAAATATATAACGATACTAGTATAACTGGTAAATCAGAAAGAACTTGAGCAGCACTTTCTGAGGCACTCTACTGATTAAGGAGTCAATTTTTCAACGGGGATTAGTTGTCGTGAACTACCTTAGGCCTTCATTGGCTTCTCAACCCATCCAAAAAAGGACTTGACCTTGACACCGACTGCCTTGTCTATGTTTTCAGAGTGTTGCATTTCTTTGGCTGTCGTGTCCTTCTCGTTCTCCGCGTTCTCCTGACGCTCCTCAGCTTTTTTATCCACTCGACTAATTGTTTTTCGCCACCCTTCGCGCTGCTGTTTGCGCTGTTCTGCCACCTGTGCGTCCTTTTCTGCCGCCCGTTTCTCAGCCTGTTGTTTCTTCTGCGTTGGGCTCAGCATTTGGAGGTTCTCATCGTTCCGAATTTCTTCTTCCACTTTCTTTTTCCGATCTTCTTCAAGTTTTGCATTGTACACAACACCCAAACGGCGAACTAATCGAGATGACAGTCCTTCCCCTTGGCGCGTAACGTCGACCTCCATTAAGATCTGGTCTGGCAGTTTGTCGGGCTGCAAGTCTAGTGGCTCTTCCTTATCCGGGACTATGGTTTTGTTTGAGGGAATGTCGGCAAGACGCACGAAAAATGCATCTCTGAGTCCACATTCCTTGATCAAGGAAGTCAAGTCACTAGATTCACCGTCTTGTTCGTAATTGATTGCCGGGGGTTGGGGCCCTTCGACAAGGACGAAAGTCTCGTTCTTCTTTGGCACATCTTCCTCCTTTGGCACAACCTTTTCCTTTGACACACCAATGAATTGGGCTCTTCTTTTTCCATCTTTCTGACCCATGACTTCTTTTCTTAGCTCTGCCCAAGCTTTCTTGAAGTCTTCTCGATCCACTTTCTCTTTGGAATCGGATTTCTCTTTTGGGTCGAGGTCCTCTTTTGATTCGGGGCCCCCTTTACTATGCACAACAACACTGACACTGATGTTAGCATGCCTGGGTAACATGAGTCGGCAACCGCACGTGACGATTGATGGACAGAAGGGGAGACATCTTACAGGTCCACACTTTGGAGTCCCATCAAGTTCAAGCTTTCATCAAACCTATCTTTTAGGCTGCGAGCCAAGGAATCAGTCTCCCCCGTCGGCTCTTGGATTCTGAGTAACACGAAGAGTTTCTCCCTAGGAACCTTCCATCTGGCTTTTCCAATGACGTTGCCAAACGCCCTCTTGCTTTCGCGGGGGACATCCACCAGGTTGCCCCAGGCTTCGCGTTTGTGCAGCTTAGTGAACCGTTCTTCTATGATCGCCGCGGCTAATCTCGCAACTTCGGGAGTGCTAGGACTGTCCACAGGATTGTCTGTGCCAATCTTGTAGTAAAGTGTTCCGGTTTCAGGAATATGGAGCTAAAAGTGTTGGTCCTCATGTCGTCCCGAGTGCAAAACCAATACCACTTACAACTGGAATGAATGAACCCCTTCCTAGGGTGGACTGTGTTGAGGCCATGGAGGAGCCTGAGAAGAGGCGTAGAAGAAAGCGGAAGGGGAAAAGAGGGGGAAAAGGCTGTGTCGATGACCTGGCTGGCTGATGGGAGAAGAAGACCACAGTGAGCCTTCACCATCGATCTCAGAAATAAACCAGAAAATGGAATGACCTTATGAATAGGTACAGACAGGGGTAGGAGGCAGATACAGAGGCTGCTGAAATGCGTCTATGCCGTGACTCTGGTAAGGCCCTGCATGGGCAGACAATTGCTTTTTATATAGTAAGATGGCTGCATGCTTTAGTGCTCTTTGTCTGAAGATTTCCATCTCTTTTGAACATCAAAACTCCACGTATGAACAGTGTTCGATGAAAACTCCACGTATGAACAGTGTTCTTGATTTTCTGTCAGCTAACATGAAGACCCACCCACCCCTTCGACTGGACACAGAAGTTATGTTCTTGTCAGAACAAGAATCCCTGGAGCTTTTGGCCGTAGCAAACTTCATCCACCTTCTTTCTTTGACTTTTACTGGTCTTCCCTGTGCCCCCCTTTACCACAAATAATTGCGGGCACATGTAAGATGCTACCCTACGTCACACTGAACAAGATATGAACGACATGTTTCTTACAAAAGGTCTAGCAGCTTGTTCAGCGACCAGAGTTCAGACTGATCAGGACCTATGATCTCAGGGCAATGGTAGCAGGTTGAATTTCATTGATGTCGGAGTAGGGCGGTTGGAGAGACTTCAATTCGAGGAACGGAAATAAGTGTGGAGGACTGATAGCATTGAATACAAAGGTGACAGTGAGACATTCAAGCTGATTCGTTCCCGTTGATGCGTACTTTTCTTGGGACGTCTCGTGTTGGAAGCTGTCAAGTCTTAAGGTGCCCTTCAAAGCGACTGCCAAACTTTCATGCCCATATCTGATTTTATGATCTCCATTCATCCACATCTCGCTTTCATTAACCACCCTTAGCATGAGATCCCGCAAGTATCTCTCTTCCTTTGCAGCTTTGGCAACCCTGCCGAGACCCATTTTCCTCTATTTTTCGCAGTTGTTTCTATGACATTTTACTGGACAGCTTATCTCAAGCGCACCTTCAACCTTTGGATTCCTTTATTTCACTTGGGAACAATGTAGACGAACCATCCCAGACCTCTTGGAATCAAACGCTCTGTGGAACTCATCTTGAGATTCGCTTTCTCTATCCAGGGTGAGGTCGAGATATTGCCATATCGGTAAAGATTGGGGGAACAAGATCCAGCGACGTTCCCTATATGGATTGCCATCTACAATTCAAGTTTAGGACGGGTGAGTAGGTCCCTTATCATGGCTGAGCTACGTAACAAAGCAAAGAAAATCGTCTGCTTCTAAAGTGCATTCACTATCAATGGATAGAAGTATGTCTTCGTATGTGGGCATAAAGCAACAGTGGTATTGTCAAAATTAATGTGATCCGAGCTACTCCCTATCTTATCACGTTGGTTCAGCCATGGTCTCTGAGTCTTGCAATCTAAGGTACTGCGAGCTGTAAGCGAGCTGAATTTCAAGGACGAACACTGCCAGACTTTGACAACCTCGTCCTTACTCCAGCTCTTACCTCTCTATGTTGTAAAGGATTGAATGGAAACTGCATGGCTAGATTTCGTGCTGCTCCCAAGCACCTAGAGACTCCACGCTTTGGCCATGTATCGAAGGAGGTTGAGGTGAACTGCAATGCAATGGCGGTCCAGACCATGGCTTCGGACGAAAGTAGCCAATCACGGGGGCTTGAATCTGCATGACGCTGCAGACATCGGCCGAGGAATGGTCCGTCGCGCCCGTGCCCAGTCTGCACCTCCAGAGACGTCTTTCGGATCGTGAATAGACTGGCCAAAGCCTGTAGTTTGGTGCGAGGCACTGGGCCTCTGTGGAATCAGTGCGCATGCAATTGGGGTAAAGGGTTCAGGAGCCCTGTCTTACCCGACATAATTACTGGCCGCAAAAGTCACACTTCAAATGCGCATGTCAGCTTACCTCTAGACGATCAGTATGGGGGACTTCAACTCTTTTCACATGAGTAGCTTGGGTCATCATATGAAAGTCGGTGGTTGACGCCGTATGGCTGGTCTGAAGGGTAGAGTATAAATGATAGGCTTTGGCCGAAGGCTATTGACATAACCGCCGACAGAACTTCATTGACTGACTGACATCAGCGCTACACGGAGCCGTTGAATCTTGATAATTAAGCGTCAAGATCTGTGATGGACCCAGTAGTCTGGTCAGGACTCGGCTGCGAATGGATCCCGTTTTGCTCACGCAGCCACTTGTTACACGTGGATTCTTCTACTGGCATATGCGGCGAATAGACATCGTATCTGCAGTACAACCTGGATTGAATTGATAGAGAATGAAAGACCTTAGGACCCATGGCACTGGACGCGCTCTGTTCCTGTGTTTCACGATCGAACTCTTCCCCTTTTGTGCTTCTTTGTCCACGTCCATGCGGCTCTCTTTACCTTCAAACTACTTTCCTTTTGGAAATGGTGTCTCTCTCATTGGTTCGAGGGTAACTTTGGCGTCAAGGTGTAAGCGCGCTAACAGCCTTAGCTCTGCCGGACTTGCTCAGCCGTCACCGAAAATACAATGTCCGTTTCGCATGCCGTTAGACGCTAGAGACATCGGATTCCGTAAGCTTCCCAGGCTGTCGGCAACACCCGATTCACAACACTTTGTAGTACAACGAAGCCTGGCTAAGGGGTGTGTCAGCTGCGATGACAGTCCAAGTGCCTTCGGCTTGCCCATGGGGTAAACATACCACCGGGGCCGACATGATGGCTTGACCTAGCCACCGGACTTTCTGATGCGTCTAGATCGAACCTGAAGTTCATGTGAGAAAGTGAGAATGTCTGAAAAGAGCAGGGATTTTGAGTTATTCTTCACATCTATAAAGATGGTGTATTCACATTAAGAATCTTGACTTCTTGGCATCCTCTCTCGGACATCTTCCACAGCAACCACTGCCAAGACACTGCACGTCTTCCTTCCCGTCGACCGCATCATCGCCCGATCTTTCTTTCGTAATGCACGCTTCAAGCCTCCTTCTCACTGGCCTCTTGGCACTCGCCAACGCCGCAGTCCTCCCCCACGCTGAAGATGCCTCTTCTGGTGCCGTCGTCGCAAAGGATCTTGACACTCGCGGCGGAGCCAAGTGCCCAGCAGTCTGGAAGCAAGTCAACACTGAGCTCAACTCTCTCTTCATGAGTGGTCCTCAGTGCAACGATCTCGCACGCGCATCTATCCGCGCAATCTTCCATGACTGTGGCTCCTGGGACACCTCCCAAGGCCTCAACGGTGGCTGCGACGGCTCGCTAATTGTCGGTGTCAACCCTGATGTCGAACTCAACAGGAGCGAGAACAGGGGCCTGCAGAAAATTGCCGGTGTTCTACAGGGTCTTGCAACCAAGTACAACACTACGGTTGCGGACATGATTGTCTTCGCTGGAAGTAAGTCTCGCTATGAAATCAGAAAAGTCACGTGTGAAGTATTTTTTTGCTGATATCCCACGCCTCAGATGCCGCAATCTTCCTCTGCCCCGGGGGGCCCAAGGTGAAGACCTTCATCGGCCGTGCGGACAGCACCACGTCTGCCAAGGATGGTGGCTTGCCTGACGTCTTTGCCTCCGCCGACGTACTCGTTGCACTCTTCCAGAAGAAGGGCCTTGACGCCGAGGCTCTTGCTGCGCTCCTGGGGGCTCACAGCACCTCGACGCAAAACTTTGTCGATACGACCAAGGCCAACGCGTCCCAAGACTCAACGTAAGTCGCCTCATCGTGTCATGAAATTCAACATCGTTATACAAATGCTGATCATTCACTACCAGGCCTGGAAAATGGGACGTCAGCTACTACAAGGAGACATACGACTTCGCGACCAAGGGCACTGCTGCACCGGGCGTCTTTGTGTTCCCGTCGGACTCCAAGATCTCCACCTCTACCTCTGGAGACATCGGAAAGAAGTTCCAGGGCTTCATCGGACAGCAGAATAAGTGGAGCAGCAGCTTTACCAACGCGTGAGTTACTCCATAATGAGAAAATTGTATTTATGCTCTATTACTGACGCGGAGTAGCATGGAAAAAATGGCACTGTTTGGAAATGATAAGAACAACCTGGCTGATTGCACCGACAGTATCACCAGGCTCTGAGTTCCTAAAGCGCTGGCTCCGCGTTGATCGCATGTGCTGAACGTGGCGATGATTTGATGTTAATATCTTATTCTTTGGGGGCTGTACGTTAGCTGCCGGTGTGGTAGATCTCCCGATCACACGAGATTAATGACGTGATAGAGTTTAATGATTAATGTTCAGTATTATAAAATATTAGACAAAAATACGTACTCTGACCTGACCCCAAATGACCTGTAATTTGAATTTCGGCTTCAAACGAAAAATACCATATGGCTAAAACAAATTGCACATTACTATCGCTACATAGGTTTGATTCTCGGATTTCTTGCGCAAATTCTGTATCTTGGACTCTGATCCCAGTAGACAAGATAGGTTAGTGATGAAATGAATTGAACGTGCACTCCCACATGTACCTAGGTATATCAAGTGTGTTCATAAAAGTCCTTTTGATGTATATTATTCCGCAATAACCAACTTCTCTTTGAATAGTTGTGGCTATATGAAAGATAACACCTGTCTTAGATCTTTCGTGAATAAGACAACACATAAATAATAAACGACCTCTCAAATCCACTCGAGTTTTAAACACCCAAATCAGCAAGTGACTTTTGTCCTTCATCCGTGAACATCATCCTGCCGTTGAAGTACCCAACAAACCAAACCCCCAGATACCGCCAGTGCCACCACCAGAAATGGTCCTGGGCACCAAACCATCCGAACACGAGATCCAAGTTATAACATAGGTTGTTACACGCCCCTAGAACCAGGACGCTCAGGATTGCGACGAAATGGACTGCTCGCTTTCCGTAGATGCGATCGACAATGAAGGCATTGATGAGGCCTCCCATGG